TGGTCCTGATGGAGAGAGGTTCTGGTCCTGATGGAGAAAGGTTCTGGTCCTGATGGAGCACGGAGGGGAGGGGGGTGAACAGTTTGTGTCCAGGGTGGGAGGGGTCGGCCACTATCTTCCCGCCTCAGGGTTCTGGAGGCATGCAGGTCGTGGAGGGATGGCAGATTACAGCCGATCACCTTCTCTGCAGAGCGGATGACACGCTGCAGCCTGCCCTTATCCTTGGCTGTGGCTGCAGCGTACCAGATGGTGATGGAGTATCCTCGGCTGTGCTTTTTTGGTGAGGGAGCAGATATTCTGCTCCCGTTTGAGGTCCTGGGCGATGATGGTGCCCAGGAAGCGGAAAGATTCCACAGCAGTTACTGGGGAGTCACACAGAGTGATGGGGGTGGGTGGGGCTGCGTTCTTCCTAAAGTCAACAACCATCTCCACTGCCTTGAGAGCGTTGAGCTCCAGGTGGTTTCCCCCACACCAGGTCACCAGATGGTCCATCGCCCACCTGTAGGCAGACTCGTCCCCACCAGAGATGAGTCCGATGAGGGTGGTGTCGTCTGAACTTCAGTAGCTTGACAGACTGGTGACTGGAGGTGCAGCTGTTCGTGTACCGGGAGAAGAGCAGAGGGGAAAGAAAGCAGCCTTGAGGGGAACCGATGCTGATGGTCCGGGAGTCAGAGAGGTGTTTCCCCAGCCTCACGTGCTGCTTCCTGTCAGACAGGAAGTCTGTGATCCACCTGCAGGTGGAGACGGGCACGTGCAGCTGGGAGAGCTTGTCCTGCAGCAGAGCCGGGATGATGGTGTTGAAGGCGGAGCTAAAGACCTCAAACAGGATCCTGGCGTAGATTCCTGCTGTGTCCAGGTGCTGGAGGAGGAAGTTAAGTGATAACTATTAGTAAACCATAATGATGGATGTTATTATCAGCAGCTGCCAATAGATCCCCTACATCTTGTATGATGGACCTTTGAAGCAGGGTTACACAAAACACACACACACAAAATTGTAAAACAGTTATTGAGAGCATCCCAAGGGCATTGATCCTATGCTAAACCTTCCAGAACACCAACTTTCTAATACCTTAGAAACGACAACTAGCCGTTGGCACGAATGTAATGCTTCAGCTTCCTACAACTTTAAAGCTGTGTGGACGTGGCTCTATGAAGAGTCGTTCATATTTTCTCATTATTTCATAAGTTTAGAAGGGGTAACAACAGTTACCTTTTGTTAATTTTACCTCGAGCCAAACTTGTGCGACTTGTTTCTGAAATCCCTTTCTCTTAAAGTGAATACATAAAATAAAAAAACAGTGGAGCTTACCCTAAAACTAACCACTGGATAGGATTAACCCTAACCCATATATATTTTTGTATTATTATTATTTAAAAAAAAAAAATATCATATAGCACCAAATTGCAACTAATCTATATCTACGGTCACTTTTCACATTGAACATGAGCTCTTTTATTAAATAAACGTAACGCTTTCATTTTAAGTTGAGTTTAGTGTTTTTGACCCTAAGAAACACTGATGCATTAATCAATAACAATAATCCACAGCTCCTCTCTCTGCTCCAGAGGATTTAAAGAATATATTAGGGATTGACCGATATGGCTTTTTCAAGGCCGATACCGATAACAATGATTAGTAATCAAGGAGACCGATAACCGATATTTGGAACCGATATACATTTGCAGTAAAAAAAAAAAAATCTTGGTGTCAAAATGTCGAATAACACAAACTCCAACACTACTTATTTGAAATGCATTTAAGCACAGCCTATATTATGTTTAATTAACTTTTAAACATTTTACAACTGGTTTCCACTGTGCCCTTTTCTTTAGTGCAGTCATCTGCAATGAGTTAGAGAGAGAGACAAGAAGTGGGGCTGCAGGCTGACATGCTTAACTAACAATAATGCTTAATTTATTATATCTGTCTATCTAGCATAAAATCCCAATAAGCTGCTAGCAACTGCAAAACACTAGTGCTAGCTAATGTTTTGCAAACTATTAAAAGTGAGGCTATTACAGTAGACCTAATGTTAGGCTAGGAGCCTCACTTCTAATATTTTGCTAAACATTTGCTAGATACATATTGGCTAGCTAATGAGCTTCACATATCAACCTGAAAAACTGCAAGGCTCCACTCGCAGCCCCCCCCACCACAGTTACTCCGCTGCGAGACGCTGCACGCACCCCCAACTCTGACTGACTGTAACTGGGAAACTGATAGAATTGGATCATAAGATCGTGGTGTTTGTGCAACTTCAGCATAGGGGATTGGGATGTTTATTGAACTTCGATTTAACACATGTATGGCTCTGCCGCTCAGCGCTGCTGCTTGCTTCAGTCTGTGTCTGCGTTCTTTCGCACCTGCCTGTAATCTGAGAAGGTCCCGCCTCTCTGGCTGTCTCCCGCCCGGAAAATCTTCAGTAATAGCCTATCAGATAGCGCTGTGGGCGGGACATTGCTCGTGTACACAGAGTGGTGACTGCAGCCAGAGAAACGGCCGCATCAGAGCCAAAGTTTTATCGGCAATTTGATTTAAAAAAAAGGCCGATACCGATAATCGGTCAAATGCGGAATATCGGCCCCGATAATCGGCCAAGTCGACCCCTAGAATATATCAGCAGTAAACCTAGGAGAAACACTGACATTCAATATTATGTTAGAGACAAGTTAGTTATTACTCACATATCAAAGTCTTTTCATCTACAAGATGGAAGAATAGCTGGATGCTGCCTGGAGAGACTGATGAGGAGTCACCGGCTGGCTTCAGCAGCTTTCCACACAAAGCCATCACATGTTTTGTTCCAGTCTTCACTGTCCATTGGTGCTCTGTCAAAAGAGTGAACATCACAGCTGTCATGGTAACCCTTTGTTACACAACATACAACCAACATGCATCAAAAGTGACCCAAATTAGTTTAAATTGTAAATATCTTTGCAATAAATTACCTCCAGGAATTTCTCAATTAACCTGTTTTTGATCAACACCAATTCTCATTTGAACTTTCTTACTTTTTAAAATAAAAATCATGTTTGTATCACTACACTTCTAAGGCACAACATGGGTAAAACATTATCCGTATTATTTCCTATGTTATTCCTAGTGTTTCTTTAAATACATTGTTTTTGATTACCACAAATCATTATTTTAATTCTCCAGTTCTAATTGATTAACTAAAATAGTTTATGCCAAGTGTGATACAAATGCAAAAAAAATAAAGATACTTTAATGATAATTTTGTTAAAAATAATCATTTTAGCAGAGATTTGGACCAAGCATGTATGATGTAGTAATACAACAACTATTTTAGTTCACAGTGTGACATTAGCTAGTCATGTTAGCTTGTAATATATAGAGCTAACTAGCAAGTTAGCCAAACGTTAGTGGTTAACAGTTTATGCTATGATAGCTGTTGGCTACTGAACATTAACAAACTGAATTCCGCTGTAAAAAAGCTGTGAAACTTTACAATAAGATTGGCGACAACACTGTGACACCCTGCTGCACGTTTATGTGTAATCGTCCCGCGTTGGAGACGAGAGGATGGCGGCAGCACTGCAATAAGCTGTAAGCTAACGTTAGCAGCCACCTTGTTAACCTGTATAGCCCGATTGTCCCGCCGGTGGGACATCTTGCAAGAAACAGCATCTCAGGACTTCTTAAAATGTACTAACAACCTATTAATGATGCTTACCTACTTAACGGGAAGAAACTCAGCTAACTGACTATATTAACCATTTTTAACTAAACGAAACACAAGTCTAACAGCTAACGGGGCTAACGCTACTTTAGCACATAACTGGCAAAAGCGATCTTTTTTACTTCATGCTATCTGCACAAACGTATCATATGAAAGCTGAGATTCCACAGATTCCCTTAAAATATATGTCTCATCACTCAAAACTCACTGAACTAGAAGAAGAAACGTAACCTTAAATACACAATTAAACATTCACAAACTAAGGATTATCTAAATACATGTTTAACTCCATTACAGTTGCAGGACTCACCAGATCTCAAGTCTTCTGTTCTCTGTTGACGTCCCAATGCTCATATTTAACGTGTAGATGTAAAACTATCCCGATATTAGTCCATAAACTCGTGAGCAGACATACAGACAGCTCTATAGCTCCGCAGGAGAGCCGCTCAAACTGACGTGGAAGTTTCAAATTGGATTGAAAGGCGCGGACAGTGCTCATTGGCAGGTTTTTTCGATTACGTTTATATCAACCAATCAGGAGTGTTGTGGACTCATTCCAATCCTGCTTGTCTTGTCTGCCGTTGTATGGCTAGATTCCATTTCAAGTGCCGTAGCTTTTTACATACATTTTACGTTTTTTTTATTTGACACTTTTTTTTACAGTTAACTATTTTAGTATACTATGAAAACTACTTTATTTACACAAAATCATTTTTGGGTATTTCTGCAATATATTACATTTTTTGTGAAGATGTATACATTTATTTAACATTTTAGAGATGTTTTATAATAAGATTTATTTTTATTCTACAACAGTACAGAATACAGTTATTTTTGATTTTTTTACATTTTGTTACATTAAATTTAAGGTTTTACTGCAACAAAAAAAAGAAAGTTGCCTTCATTTTACATGCAGTAAAATTATGTGTATTTTATGTGTTTTTACATAGAATTAAATGTAATTTAACATTCAAGACAATTAAACAATGGAATTATCCTGTAAAAAAACGATAATTTCTCATCAAACCAATTTACAGAATAAAACCTTTATTTATTTTAAATAAAAGTAATTTACTGTATTTTTATGGTATTTACACGTAATATAGAAAAACAATAAGGTCTGTAAAATAATACAGTACATTTCTGTGAAAAAACATTTTTTTTTTACAGTGTAATGCACCTTTATACGCATGTGCTTGCACACCTGCTGCACGTCCATAAAGCCTCTCTCTCTCTCTCTCTCTCTCCTGCACACACACACTGAGTTTGTGAGGAGGAGCGAGGAAGAGGAGGAGGATGGACGGCGGGAAGGGCGAGCTGCTGAGCATCATCTCGTGCATCGAGCTCGGGCCAAACTGCACGGAGACCCTGGCGCTGTCAGCAGGACCCACGTGGAGGGGTAACGGCTCGGCTCTGGATGCGTACCGGCTCGTGGAGCACCAGCTTCCCGCCTCGGCGGCTCCAACGGTGAGCAACCGAACTCCATCGGAAAAAGTAGCAATTTAATATTATCATGCCAATTGTTAGACATATTGTGAATGTATTACGTTTTCTAATATTGATAAGTCACCTAGAGACGTGCTTCTTTTGTTCGGCATACATATATTTAACCAAACATTGAAACAAATATTGAATTAGTCTCTTAGGACTTGGTCTCCCCAAAGTATTGCATCGAAACTCACTGTGCTTGTGGCACCACTGGCTGTAATCAAATAACTACAATTATTTATTTTTTCCTAAGAAAAGCTTTCATGGTAATTTTTTTAAATAACGCCGAATTGAGTAATACGTTATATTGATTGGGAATATTCTGATTACATGTTCAAAAGAGTACCTATTATTCCTAAGAAGTCAATTAATATTAAAACCACATTTCTGCTACTTAGCTGTTCAAAACATGTAAATCAAGGATTTTTTTCTTTAATGTTGAGCTTTTAGTTGGCCAAACTGTAGGCCTACATCAGATGACATATATCATGGTCGCATGTTAGTATTGACAATATCATGAGGTCATAGGCTCCTTATTGATCAGGTAAAATGAAACTTGATTGACATAAAACAAGGGTTTATATCACTGTGAAAACACAACAAATAAACATATGCGGATATTTGGCGTGTATGATATATATATTTCATTATGAAATGATCACAGTTATTGTCAATACTGCTTATTGTAGGACATGCAATGGCAATGCAATGGCAAATGAAAAATAATTAACTCAAACACGTCATTCTAAAAGTTCTCTGCTGCTTTATACAAAAGATAGACTATAATAATCGTATGCACCTTTCATGGTACTCAAGGTTACGTTACCCCACATAAAATCAAGAAATAAAACATTAAATTAACAACCAATCAAGTAAATAACAATGCATAAAAAGGCAAAAAGAGACCCTTATCAACATCAATGAACAAAATGTCGTCAAATAAGAACAAAAACGATGTGTATTTAAATAGAAATTAATTTCACAATGTCATTTTTTCCCCACAATATGCATTTTAATCTGCATCTTAGCACTTACATAAACTGTTAACTGCACAATGTGTCTCTTCAACGCATCACTGTGAAATGCATGAATGCAACTTTGCTCCTGTCAGGGCTTCATGGCTCATCAGACTATTTGTGCCGCCTGGCCTCATGTAAACACTTTACACCCAGCTGCACAAGAAAAATAAATACATCTCAGACTGGGCTTCGTGTGGAGACGATAAACATACTAACTTTATCTAATTGTGTCAGTAGATTTCTCCTAAATTCACCAAAAGCGAGAATTACGTAATGGCTAATTTGCATATTTAAACATACCATTTCAGATAACTTATGTATGTATGGTTACGTGTAGTGTGTAAATGTATGCATTTTACATTTCCTTTTTTAAATGCCTTATACCTTCCCACTTCAGAAGCACTTACACCACATTTTCCAGTTTCATTCTTGAAGGTATTCTGAAGGTTTTAACACAGGGCTTTTTTAATTTACATATCATTCATAGATTACTAAAAACATGCAAAAGAAAAGATTTTTTGATGCTTGTGAACAGTATTTTCTGATTCTTGTACAGTGTGACATGCCCCTATATAGGTCTCAGGGGGTTTTACCTATCCTAATAATAAACAATTGTTAAGAAGATCTTAATTAAGAGAAAATACAAGATGAATGTAATGTTGCTACAGGGGGGAAGCTGCAGCTGTGAGTGGTATCATATAAGAGACGCTGAAATGTTCCTCCTTATCGCTCGGCTTCACCTACACCTCGGAGCTGCACAGATTTCAGGGTTCACGGCTTAAAGTTCAGTTTGATTTATTTTTATTGAGCACACCTGCAAGATGTGGAGGACTGATAACACGAGCATCATGTTATATCTGCGTGTACATGGCTCCACTTTAAACACTAGCTCAGGGCAAGTAAACACTGTGTACGGGGAAGTGGAAGACACTGTTCAGTGAAGTTCTCAAATGTTCTGCGAATAGAAAAATATCCTTCCGCTGGTTTACCTACGAAACCTTGTTACGACTTTTACTTCCTAGATAGTCAAGTTTGATCGTCTAGCCAAAACATTATGTAAAGTTGGCGCCTTTTGTGGTGTTTTATTTCGAAAACAACAGAGATTAGCTGTTAGCGTTAAGGTTAAAGCTTATACAGCACAAGGGAATTCAAAGTGTTTTACATAAGCAGTAACACAAAACATATGACATAGAAAAACAAGACAATTCGTAAATTATAGAAGATAGTTTCAAGGCAACATTTGAAATACAGTAGATTCAGCAAGAGATGCAAAAGTAGAATTGTATAATATCTTATGACCTCTGTAAGCTGTTAGCTGTTAGCTGTAAGTTGTTAGTTGTAAGTCGTTAACTGTAAGTTGTTAGATGTTGTTAGTTATAGATGATAGCTATTAGTTGTTGGCTGCTAGTTGTTAGCTGTTAGTAGCCTATTACAGGTTAGCTGTTAGCAACATGCAGCACAGTCCTGCTTGGCTAAATAACGGAGCTAACGGCTAACGCTAACAGAGGTTCCATTGACCTACATTACTGTGGATTCATGGTCTATTCAGTAAAAACATGTTTTGGACTTGAATCGGTAAATGTAATCTTTGATCTGAAAAATTGCCAATTTATGTTTATTGTAGACAAGATTAAACATTTGATAGATCACTGAACTTTCCCGCGAGTGTATATTATGCTTTAAATACTAAAAACCCAAGAGAACATCATTTGAAAATGAATAAATGGCCAAACACAAAGATATAAATAATTTTAATTTAGAAGGAAAATCAAACTAAGTTAGTTAAATATATTTAAAATGTATTGACTTTGGGAGATTACAAGTCTGTTTTCTGGACAGCAGTGCATGCTCTGGTGTTATTTCACAGCTTTGTGTTGTGGAGCAAACACATATTGATGTCTGAACGTTCACCCATGCATCTGCAAATGTTGTGTTATTGATCACACATGGTGTTTCTGTGAAAATGTTCCTGCTGCAGGCCGAGTTCAAGCCAACTTTCCACTGACTCTCTGTGACGCTGGGTTTTAAAAAGACAGACACATCATTGGGCTTATTTTATGCTGATATTAATTCAGGGGGAACTGTGAGAGAAGACTTAGTTTATTTCCATTTCCTGCTACTTTAAGCTTGTACTTACTCAGTTCATTTATTTTAAAGCTTTAGTAACTTTCTGATCATCAATACAACATATACTAAACATCAACAAGGGACACTGCAGTTAACATTTTAAATGAAACAGACAAGCATGTTTGAAACGATTAAATAAGTTAACAGTTTTCATGCAAAATCAGCCAGAAGTTTGAAGAAGAAGCTTTGTTAGCATATAGAGAGGCGAAGTCCCTCCCTTTCCGGGGGAGCTCCATGGGACCTTATTTCGGAAAAATCATGCATTGAAGTCAATGGAGAGAGAAAGATTATCTTTCGATCCCGTTTGAATTGTGCCACGAATTACACATATGATGTTTGTCAATTTAAAAGATAATTTTGCAAGTCAAAAAAATAGTCGTAAAACTGTGAAGTAACACTTTTTGTGTGAACCGCTCAATGAACTACATCTCCCGTCTCGCACCACACACCAAGACGGCCGTCACGTTGAAATATTTCACTTCTTTCTTTCAGAATGAGGCAAAAAGTATTAAAAGAGGTGAAAATCACTCCAAGTCTGAGCATGTTGAGAGCTGCACATACACACAAGGGGAGTTAGTCGGTTCGTAAGAGCCAGCATGCGGGACCGGGATTCTGGGATTTGTAGTCTTTCTAGTTGCATATTTTTCATAGTCTTATATTTCAACAGTTTTACGACAAACTGTGACTTTTTTGACATGGAAATTATTTTTTAAGATTGACAAACATCATATGTGTAATTCGTGGCACAATTCAAACGGGATCAAAAGATAACTTTTCTCTCTCCATTGACTTCAATGCATAATTTTTCCGAAATAAGGTCCCATGGGTCGGAAGTAGATGGGCGGGACTTCGCCTCTCTATAGCTAGTTAGCATGTTAAGCAGTTTCCTGTCACATCAATAGAGTAGATTAAAGTATGTGACATCTTGATGTCACAGGGAAACATCGCTGGCATTTCCGTGACATTTCACAGCCCTGTCTTCTTTTTTCCTTCTGTGAGGCAACATGGAAACGGTTGAAATATATATTTTTAAATGTCGATTTTACCTTGATATATGTCTGTTTCAAAATAAAAGAAATTCATTTTTGTTGGTTTGAATCAGGATTCAAACAACATTTTGTAGAGAACTCAATCAATTATTATTTATTTTTGCAAATAAATGACAAACATATTGAGTTTATTATTGAGTATGGGAGGATGAAAAATATCTCAGGAAGAACAGTAAAACCTTATAAGGTCAAAAGGGAAATAAAACAGACAGCAGGGATAAAAAGATCCAGTGATAGCAGGAAATATGTGCCGCTCATATATAACCACACACACACACACACACACAACCCCTTTCCTTCTAAGTCTTGGCAAATCATACATAAATACAGACATTCATCTATATTATCTTACCTTTCCCTGGGCAGTCGGTACAGACCGGTACGCTTACAAATCCGAAACAGGTGCTCGTTAAAAATTCAATATAAAGAAAATAATTGGAGGTTTTAAAGATACTTCTGCCACACACACACACACACACACACACACACACACACACACACACACACACACACACACAACACACACACACACACACACACACACACACACACACACACACACACACACACACACACACACACACACACACACACACACACACACACACACACACACACACACACACTAGGTAATGTTACAGCGACATCAATAGCACTTATGTTCCTCATATAAGGTTTTTGAAGATGAATAAAAAGCTGACTTTCAAATAAATTAGCAACGCGACAATACGTTAGTAAAGTTCCTTTGGATGGCGTTAAAAACTAGTGATGTGGTAATTCAGAGAATATCTGTACGGATCTAAGAATAGCAAAGCCTCACTTTCCATCCTTCAGGCTGTTTAGTTTCCTGCTGTGTGAGGACTGTTACAGCACCAGCACTAATACAGTAATGTAATCTTGTTCGACATGTGGACAAAGTGAATTCAAAGTATTTCCAAAGCTCAGTGAATGCATCCTCTGCAGCAGGAGCTCTGTGCAAATAAAGTTTTTCTGCAAACACCACGGAAAAATCTGTCTCAGGGGGAACTCGGCAGCACAAAATGAATGAGTGGATTTACAGTGAAAAGAGCCCTGAAGAATTAACGATTGGTTTTGTGTGAAACCCCCATTATGGATCCTATGTATGACCATCCAATATTTGACTTCTGTATGTAGTGTTTCTTATTTGTAGTCAATATTTCTGTGCTGCAACACAAACTTGGAGGCGTGGCTCTCTCGCAGTTGGTAGTTTTTAAATATAAGCTGAGTTATTACGTTAATACAAATCTTACAAAATAATTTCCATTGTCGATATAATCGTTAGATCAGCGGTTCCCAACCTTTGTCAACTCAGGGCCCATGTTACGATCTCACTAGGGACGAGGAAGGCAACACACACCAGAATAGAATTGGTAATAATTATAACAGGGTTTAATGAATAACAACAAAAAGGTGTACAACAAAATAAGACCAAAAGTAGCCTAAGCCAAACAAAGGAGCCAAAAGGGCGCAGGCTACTGCTAAATAACAGAAGGAGGACTCTAAAGGTGAGCCTAATAACACAGCTGTGATTCCTAACAATCACCACTAATTGAAGGAAGCTGCGGGGAATGCAGCTAACAAAGGGGAAACTACACACACTACTCTAAACACATATCAACACGCTACTCTGAGCACATATATCATCACGCTAACCAGAGATGGGGACTCGAGTCGCACACACAGAGACTTCAGACTTGACTTGGACTCCTACTCAAAAGACTTCGGACTCGACTTGGACTCGTGTTTTGGGACTCGTGAACAATCATTGTGTTTTCTATTTTTGGCGTATTAAAGGTGGGGTAGGTAAGTTTGAGAAACCGGCTCGAGATCGCTAGAATTTGAAAATACACAACCGGAGAAAATCTGCCACTTCCTCACAGAGCTCCTCCTCCAACGCACACGAACGCGCACATGACCAATGAGGGCACGAGATAGGTTTGTGCCCCGATGGGAGGCTGACAGGCAGGTAGGCCATCCAGTTACTTTAGCCGGGCCGGCTATCGGGATGTTAAGAGCATTCCATGGAATATAACAAAAAGTGTATCTCGAGCCGGTTTCTCAAACTTACCTACCCCACCTTTAACATTAACATTAACATCATGGTAACACCATGGCGACCGGAGGCACACCTGCAGCTGTACCGCTTGCAGGTTCAACTATAAAAACTTCGAACAAAACGCCGGCGGCACCAACAAAAGGAGCGCACACTGCAAAGTCTGCAATATTAAAATCAAGGATGCTGGTTCAACAACGTGAAATTTCATCAGGCACTTGAAAACTCACCCGGAGAGGTCAGTCACATTAACGCATATGGACGGTTAGCAAACATGTTTAGCTCAGCATCAGCTATGTAATGTTAATTTAGCCTGCTACTAGCTTTGTAACTGAATATTTGAAAAGATGAGTGAATGTTTGCTTGTCACACTTGTTTGCGTTGAGTGGCGTTGACATCCAACTCTTGACATGACATAAAAAAGGTCGGTAACGTTAATCATTACGTTCCGCTGCCACCATCTACTGGCTAACGTTAAACGTAGACAAATACATAGTTACATACATAAATACATCTGTCGGTTTATAGGCAGGTTACAGGTTTCTTGTTGACCACGTAACGTTAATGTTACAGGTTTATCAGGTTACCATTACACTGGGTTTGAGTGAGAGGATAGAGGAATATGTTTATTTATAGTAGACTTAAAAGATGTAATTAGAGACCCAGTGTAATTAAACAATACGGTTGCAGAGGTCAAATTTTAACATTTTTGTCCACTGGCCAAATGGCTAGCCTAGTGAATGTTGACATTTTACCAGCCACTCAATAGATTGCCATTGTTATTTGTGGCTGGTGCGTGCAACATACAGTACCAGCCACTTGCATGATTTACCAGCATTTGGCTGGTAAATGGTGTTAATGGTAGATATCTCTTTTGGAACAGGTCATGTTTTAATATCACCAGTTCAGTATATTTCAGATAATATTGCAGCAATAGTTTTTTAGTTGCAAATGGCACAGAACAAATGTTTACTTTGAAGTACTTTTAACACAGTTTCCCTGCGGGGGATTAATAAAGTATTTGTGATACTGATTTCTGATTCTGAAGTGTTTTGCTTATAAGTTATTTGCATGTAGCTAAAGTGTGATGTTTGTCCTCATATTGCATTGCAATAGCCTGTTTAAAGTGATCATATAACAAACAACTAATCAGTACTGATACTGTATGCTAATAGATATAGGAGTGATAATAATACAGTAAATGCTTTGAATTTCTTAGTTATAGCTGCACAGCAAATTTCTGGAGTAAAAATAATTGGTAGTTAGACAAAAAAGTGTGAAAGGGTTAGATTTTGGGAGTTTATTTCGAATTTAGACTACCGTTTGAGTTAAGGGATACTCTTGGGCGGAGTAATATTTCGGGGTTCATTCACTGGGTGTTCAGGAACGTGACACAACACTACCCTGGTGTGTATTCACAACTTATCTGCTGCCGCGACCACGAGGCTTCACTTTGACTCCGTCCCGAGGAAGGTAAGTCCGGTTTTACATCTCAAACTATATTTTCTGTCATTGTAAAGTGAATGTGTTTATTTTCGCTAAAACGAGTTTAGCAAGTTTAACTAGCTGCTGAATTGAATGCCGTTGAACATGGACATGATTTAGGCTAATGCAAATGAACTTTATAGTATCATATCTGTTTCTTTTGTGTTAGCTTCAAGTTTAGTTTGTTGTTCTTTCAACACCGAAAATGCCTTTTCCTTTGCATTAAACGTTAGACTGAACGGCTACGACGGTACCGGACGAGTCCCGCGAGCTACATTGAGGGAATGTGGACGAGGTGACGTACTTTCCCGGACATTTGTGTTGAGGTAACAGCTAGCTAGTAACACGACAAAGTAAATGGCGTCTTTATAAGTGTAAGGCGCAACAAAGCACGAAATTAGCTCGTTACTTGTATGGTCTTCGACTTTAACTATCTGCATGACGGGAGGAAAGAAAAATAAAGCAAACGTCCCTTTTCGCTGCGCTACACTCAGACTTAATGCAGGAGACGGGAGCAGAAATGGCGGAATAAAGAGGCTGGTTGAACCAACATTTCCCTCCACCGTGGAGACGACGATTCCCCGTTTCAACGGTGAAAAGAAAACGCGGTTGATTTTCAAATAAAAGAGTAGAAAACAGAGGTCGTTATGGTGCATCTCAGGTGATGTTACAGAGTAATCAAAAACTACTGTTACTAGTAGTGTAACTAATTACTTTCAGCAGTAAATAACGAAGTAAAGTAAGGGATACCTTTTTTTAAAGTAACTGTTAACATCTAACTCATTACTTTTTTCAAATAACTACCCCAAAACTGATCTTAATTGCCCAACCTGATGATGTAGGCTCGCGAATAGGCTACCTTAAAATGCTTATGAAATAATATTACCACATGGCTACCCAAGATCATTTTGTTAGTGACAGTCAACATGTTGCTAAAGTAAGAGCGATCTCTTTTTTCCTTAGTTGGCCAATATGTTGCTGAAGGTGAGACGTGGAGGGACAAAAAAATATGTCAAACTGGACGAAGTCCACTTCTCAGACTTCATCAGAGCAGGTAAGTGTTGTCTGTGTTGTTGAATTCATTAAAGGGGTAGTAAAAGTCCTTTATTTAATTAAGTGTCTATTGTTATGCTTCAGTGCAACAGAAGTTTCTCATAGCAGAAAACACAATGCTGAAAGTCACCGATGAGCAAGGCATAGAGGTGGATGAGGATGTCTTTCCTGAAGTGGCAACAGTCCAAGACATTTGTTTTGTCATCTACACTGATTATGGTAAGGTGATATTTCTGGGTTTTGTTTTGTTGCAAAAAATGCTATGAGAGATTTGTATTTTCTATGTGTAAAAAAACTGATTTTTAATATTCTGTACTAGCCAATAACCAACAGCAATCACATCATTTAGTATTTTCCCTCTGCACAGTAACATCTATGTATCATGTGCATTTCAGACCTCCCACTGGCAGAATCATCCAAAACATGGATGACTGCTCCAACCTGACAGAATCTGTTGACTGCTCCAACCTGACAGAATGTGTGATACTTACAACATGTGGTAGGTAGGGTTATAGTAAATGTTCATAATGAATAAAAAGTTGTTCTAATAAAATAAAAAGTAGCTCATTGGGCAAGTTGGGATCTTCCGGTAAATTGTAGTTTTTGCACATTGCAACTGGCACATATGTGATTTGGTATAATTGGCCATATGGATCATTTATGTTAATTATGATCCCCAGATCTTACCAACCTGCAGCAACATGGTGAAGGTCCCTTTTCTCCAAGTTGTACAGATACATTGTCTGTCTCAACCTCAAGCGGCCTAAGCAGTGACACAAGTGATGCTGGATGTGAAAGGATTCAACCTATGAGGGAGAGTACCCGAGCAAGAAATGTAATTGTACTTAAATACACTTTACTCTTTACTTTGCCTGAGATGAAAAGCAAGTTTAAACAAATTTGTGTCATAGAATTGAAGAAGCTTTGTTATTGATGATCGATTTGATCAGTAGTTGGTTACACATGATCTATTTTGTTAATTGTTTTTTGTTATTTCATATAAATTGGGTTTAGATGGTGGAGCAGGTTCTAATTTCTAAGCCGGCAGGGTTGACTGTGATCAAAGAGTACGACGATACTGGGAGTCTGAAAGATTCCACCAGGCGATTAATGGTGAACATCATTGTAGCTCACATGTATGAAAAGGAAGGGTAAGAGCCTTGGCTTTAATGGCATGAATTATTCATTTATAAAGGGAAAAATCTTATTTTAAACCAATTATTTTTCTTTTGCAGGAGAGGTGTAAGTAAAGCGACGGAGTTCCATGCACTTGGGATTGTGTCACTTTTCCCATCTCTTAAGGACCCTTACTCAACAAAAGGATATGTGAGTTTTGCATTGTTGCCATTTTTTTCACATTTAGGTTATTTGGTCTTTTGTGTACAAGCAGCAGCATATTTGCATTAGATCTATGAAAAACCTGATATTGTCTGCATTCTAACCAGAAGCGCTCTTTTCTTTTTAGGAACATTTCTATGACATTCAGAGCAACAAAGGCTTTCTCGAGTGGCGTCTCAAGACTGCAACGCCAATCCAAACCCACGTCAACATTCCATGACAGAGTGGAGCTACAAGGAGGTCCAACATCATCCAGAAGTTTTGGTTCCATAAACGACCTGCAAACAGGAGACGACTGTATGGAAGCCATGTCTCTTCTTCACCACACCACTGACCATGACCTAGTCTTCCAGAAGATGAGAGAAACGTTCCACTATCGTCAACAGATGATCCATGACCAACAGCAATCTGCCAACATACTTCAAATGTTTCCTCGTTTCTTGGACACTAAGGGACTGGTACGTAACACATTTTGCATTTTGAATTCCCTCCTTGAAAAATACTTGGTTTACATTAAATGATTGTAATAATAATCTTACTTTCTTTTTTATTAGATTCTGCAAGATTTCTCATTGATGTTCGGAGCCGAAACTGCATCCAGGTTCCTGGAAAGATGGAACAGCGGTTTTAAAGACAAAGTCCTACGAGAGGCCAGGGACCTTAGAGAGACTCCTCTTCTGAAAAATCAGCTGAAATCTGCGCTGAATGAAGCATCTGACACCGATGAGCCAGGTACTTTCATACAGTCATACTCCATAAGTGTAGTAATATGGTCTTGAATATCAGGATAGGCATCATTTCTGATATTTTCACTAAGAAAAGCACATTAACATTATTTTTCACTACTAATAGGGATGACTTGATGTGATGTCAATTGAACTTTAACGTTCAATTGTACATTCCTGTCTGACAATATCATCTACGTCCTGTATGCTGTGCATCATGTTGTTGTGTATGCGAGGCCATCAGGAACATTATTCAGAAATACCGTTCACAAACAATTATGAAACACTCTCGCATAACAGAAACAAAATTATTTAAAAACGACAACTGAATTTAAAAGTTATTCACATACACATATGAAACACTCTCATATACACCTGTAAAATGTGCTCTCAGAAACACGTGTGAAACACTCTCACACACGCATGTGAAATGCTCTCACACACAAACACACACACTTGAAATGCTCTCAAACACACATGAAATGCTCTCCCACACATGTTGTGTGGGAGAGCATTTCATGTGTGTTTATGAGAGTGTTTCCCATGTGTCGATACATGATTTTGGTTTCAGTTATGCGTGTGAGAGTTACATAATTATATGTGAATGGTATTTCTGAATAATGTCCCTGACATCCCCTCATAGTGGTAACCTTGTCCATGACAATGTAGAAATGTGAAGATGATTTCCACTTTCTGCAGAGTGGGACAGCGACATGGCTTCTCTTCTTGTCTTGCTGCATATTCTCACTCCACAACCAGCTGGAAGGAAGCGGGCCAAGAAAATCAGTGTCAGAGAGGCAATAGATCATCTGGTGATTTTTCACAAGGTTTGTCAAGACAATGCGTTCCAATTCCAAATATTGTGGTTTGTCCAATCATTTAAAAACGAATGGCTTATATGAAAATGCTTTTCATTTTGTTTCAGTCCTGCAAGAGCCTTGAGGATCACCTCATGACCATTGAGGGAACCCACCAGCCGTATCTTCTGGCCACAGGCACTTCAAAGGCACAGGTTTTCAGCTTCTACATCGTATTGGACAAAAAGCTTCTTCCTTGTCAGTCACAACACAAACACAAATTTTTCTAAGATTGTGTAAAGAACTTCAAGAATTTGACAGTATCACTTGCGAAAAAACACCAGTTTGCATTAGCTTATCATTGGGAATGCTTGACTTTAAAACCAGTTCAGTCTGGTCCAGTTAAAATGTGTGTACTTGAAACACAAGACTATACAGAAGATATATCTGCATATCTCAGAATTGATCCACAAGCCACTGTCAACCTCACAAGCTGGGTAAAGTGTTGTGGGGTTGAATATCGAGTTGGCCTCTTTGTTTGTACAAGCACCGATGAAAACATGCCGGTGTTCAGCAAAATAACCTGTATCATTCTTCACAATGGAAAAGTTATTTTTGTTTTGGTCGAGTATGAACCAAAAACAAAATGGTTCATGCTTTTCAATTAAGTGAAAAAATCCCCAGGAAGATACTGGTCCATGAAAAAGAAGGATTAAGACATTTCAAACCTTTTGATTCCCAAATGTCATATGGGTGTGATTCACATTTTTATGTTGTGTCAGAGAGTTGTATTATTTAATTTGCCAGTATTGATTGTTTAATGGAATTTGTCCTTTCCATTTGTTCTTTGTACATGTCTGTATATGTTCTGTAATGCAATGTTTTGTACACTGAACCCGTTTGTCTAATGTTTGCACTTAATGCACTGAGTTTATGCAGCTTGAGGATTTCAACACTCGAATGTAAATTGAATGTTCGCTGTAACATGTTTACACTGTTTGTAAAAGCAACAGCACTTTATAAAATGTCCATCAACAATGGATTTTAAGAGTTTTCAAATAAAAGAAACACATTTGTATGAATCAATACGTTGTTTGTAGTCATTTTTATTGATTTTTATTTTAACTCCATGAGTGTTGAATATACACCCTTTCAAGTGTTAACTATTAACACTATTATAGAGTTCACATTAAAATTAACTCTAAAGTGGTAGTTGTATTTAACTGCACTTGGGAGTAGTTTTTGACTCCCACAAGTGTTCAGGTTTAACTCCTGAAAAGGGTTAAAGATTAACTCCAAGAAAAGAGTAACTTTAACTCTGCCGTTGAGTTTATTCGATGGTCTCACATGTACACTCAAATGTAGTTGATTTTAACTCTGAGGGAGTTTATTCAAAAGGCCAGAATTTGCTGTGTGTGCAGTATTCTTAACAGACTGGATAGCAGCAGACAATAGAAGGCTTATTACAACCAGAAGAGACATGAGACTTTTATTTTTTAGAGACTTGAGACTTGACTTGGACTCGTGACCAAAGACTTGAGACTTGATCAAGTCTCACCCCACAAAGACTTGAGACTTGACTTGGACTCGTGACCAAAGACTTGAGACTTGACTTGGACTTGCAAAAAAAGACTTGTGAACATCTCTGACGCTAACACACAACACTAAACACGGATCACACAAGTTCTAACAAGTCTAACGTGTCCACGACACAGGAGCAAAATGAGTGAAGCATCTGATCGCAGCAGAGCCTCCAGAGTGATTGCTGTCCCCAGGCTTTGTAGTGTCATCTCCGGCAGGTGTGCGCTGGGATGGCTCGGGGATTGGAGCTCGTCGGGCCCGGCGTGCTCCAATCAGTGTCCTCGGAGGCGGACCAGGAGATGGCAGCCAATGACGTTGGGGCAACTACACAGCTCATTCACATACATAAACACCAAAACAGAATTACAAGGACCAGAGAGGCGACAGCCGTCACGGCCCACTTAAAGATCAAATGCAAAGATTTTTTTATAATTGCCAGTAAAATTGAAATCATATAGCTACAACACTATCTAAGATAATGCAGTATTAAAATCGGAGATAATATGCGTCTGGCAATGCGCAATATTTATTTTGTTCAACCCCCAACACCAAGTCCAACGATTTATTTCTCAGCCGCTCGTCTCCGCAAGATGGCGTCGCGTGACGTCAGAGTGGCCAAACATATTTCCACCTTGCTTATCGCTCACAGCTGCTTCCGCCGATAGTACAACTTAGTTTCGTTATCATGTCTGATTCTGAGTAGACTATAGACTAAAAGCTTTAGGAATCCAAACTATAACATATAATAAGTATGTATCAAGATTGATGCAAAACAAGTGAAATTTGACCTTTTTAGAGAGGTTTAGAAAAATAAAGTCCAGGCGACCTCTGGGTAATTTGGGAACCATCAGTTCCATTTGAACTTTTTCACTGTAAAAATCATTTTATTACTTTGAATTATCACTATAGGTATTCATTCCATCCAAATACAACTGTTGTGAAAAAAAAATAAAACATACTCTGTTATCCTCTTAGCCCCACGGACCCGAAATTGCGTCATTTGCAGGAAACGACGTCTAAGAAACCTTAATATTTAATAAACTATGAATATTTTATATCCATATAATGGGAAAAAACTCATTTAACTGATCTTTTTCATTTAAAAAAAACAAACAAAAAACACAATGCTTACAGTGAGCCTCTGAATTAGCCCAGAGCGAAAAATGCTAACCTATTACTGCACCGAAAATCACTCCTAGCTCAGTTATTACTTATCCTAGCTCCACATCCAACACATCGTTTATGATCGTAAAGACACAGAATCTAACGGTGCCCACCTCAACACTGAAAGATACAAACTCGCGAGGTTATCAACAAAAACGTACATCAAAACAAGTGGCGCTAGGTACTAACATGAGCTAGGCTTACCTTCCTCTTTGTCTGGTCTAAAATGGCATTAAAACGATAAAAACGATGATGTAGTTTATCCATAGGTTAATATCCAATGGGGCTGTGTCCCCTTTGAAATGTTCTGATAATCTATAAGCAATAAAACTGCAATTCCGTTATCTGCTGTCCGCTCTGTGCTCCGTGCGCTTTGAAATCAAATCAAAATGTGTTTACCTCAATTCTTTGGCGTTTCTGCATTGCCCGGCTCTTTCGTTCTTTCGGTTGTTTTTTGTGCTCAAATATGGAGGGGACGGCTCCGGGTTTCAGCCTCCGATGTACTTTAAATGCTTCTCCACCAACAGACTTGACGATGGCAGGATCAACATCGTATGCATCAGACGCGAAGTGGTCAGAGCACAACTTGCTCCATTTTGTCGGCTGCCAGCTAACACGATTCACTAAAATAATCCAGTTTCGGCGGATGATTTTGTCTTGGGGAAATGAATGAAAAATTCTCCCAGATCCCGCACTGTTCGTACATCCGAAAGCACAACAATAACCCATGTTTTGTGTGATTTCGCGGATATAATTCAGAGTTTTCTGCACCAGTCATGAGCGAAAAACACCGCTGACATGTGAACAGCGCACGAGACTGCCGAGTCGGGATATTTGGCCCAGAGACTGTTTGGCCACAATGACGTCACGCGCGCGGAGGCTGCTGGGAATGACATGTCAGAAATTCAGACGGCTTTGGGTCGAGTTTTGTATCAATAAAAAGCTTTTTTTCGGGTGTATTATCTCGATTTAAATAAAATAAAAAAATACAGGCAGTCTTAAAAACAACATTTCTATAAAAATGTAGCATATTTGGAAGCTTTGCATTTGACCTTTAAGAATCAAAAATGTTTTCGCGGCCCACATTCAACCATAAACAATACCGAGGCTAAATAAAGTTCTGATTGGTCAATTCAGAACATGTGACATGTTGTAAATCCAGTAGAACAGACCGCTGTCAAGGACTGTAATGACCGTTGCTAAGGACTGTAATGACTGTTGCTAAGGAGGATCAAGATTTTCCACACAAATCATAATGTTTTGCAAATCATTGGGCGGCAAATATTGAATTTACATTTACACCCTTCAATATTTTATTTGGGCTTTTAGATGAAGACCGCACACAGTTAATAAATACAACTATTCTTCTGGCTAAAATACATATTTTTAAAAGTCAATCAGGGAGTAATCTTAATTGAAGGTGTTTGAAGAGTAGATTAAAAATGTAATTCCTTTTGGAAAAGATTATTGCCACAAAAAAACACACACACACACACACACACACACGAGTTGTGCAGGAGTTTAGTCAGATGTGGCGTGGGAAGCTTTCAAGGCTAAGTCATGAAAAGAAAAGACCCACACACACATATATTTTAATTAATTGATGCAGCCATCGTTGACTCGTTATCTTTTAAGTAACAGGCGCAACGAATGACACATTTCTTTCAGCATTTTACAGATTGTTTCTTTTTCAGTTGATGAACTGGTGTTCAAACGGGTGTTAAACTGATTTGAATTGGTGTTAAAATGGTGGTTAACTCGTGATAAGCTGGCTGTGCACTATTGATTAACTGGTGATTAACTGGAGGTAAACTGGTGGCTAATTGGCAGTTGTTCGGTGGTTACTGTCGCTAAACTTACTTTAAACAGCTGGTAAAGTAGCACTTAACTTGAGGTAAACTAGTGGCAAAAGGGTGTTTAAACTGGTCTTACACTGGTGTTAAACTGGTGGTTAAATGTGGCATTCTGTTTTTCCTCAAGACAAAGAAACAGAGGAGACATTCAGAGAGCAACCACAGAAGAAGAATCCCCTTGGATCCCCCTGTTTTGGCACTTTGCAATCAACAAAAAGCAAATAAACCTGTAGGATTCACACTCGCTCTCTCACACACACACACACACACACACACACACACCACACACACACACACACACACACACACACACACACACACACACACCACACACAACATGTATACATCACTTCAGGGGACATTACATTGACTTACATGCATTTCCTGGAGACTTGTCCTAACCTTAACCATAACCAACACATGCCTAACCCTAACACTTAACCTTACCCTAATCCTAAACCTAACCAAGTCTTCACCCTAAAATTAATGATTCCCCTTATGGGGACCTCCAATTTGTCCCCATAAGGGAGGCGAGTCCCCACACGTGACTGTAAACAGATTTAGGTCCCCACAAGTATAGTAATGCTAGACCACACACACGCGCACACACACACACACACACACACACACACACACACACACACACACACACACACACACACACACACACACACACACACACACACACACACACACACACACACACAGAGGGGCTGAGGGGAACTTGAACTGACAGATAATGCTGCCACCTCTTATTCTTCCATCATGCTTCTGTCGCCTCAGTCTCTTTATTCTGCTGATGGTGGTTGAGCTGAAGTCACAGTCGACACACACACAGAGACACACACACACAGTGACACACACACACACACACACACAAACAGACACATACACACAAACAAACATACAAAGGTCACACTAAGAAATACACAGAAAACAACGAACAAGCACACAAACAAACAAAGACGATGCGTTATTTATGAAGTTTATTATATTTTAATGCAAAATCTGAAAAGTAACTTAAGCTGA